CTCTTCTATCTTTATCTTCTTAAATCTCCTATTATGGCTATTTTTCTTTCAAGGTTTTGTAACAAATAATGACCTAATATCTCTTCTTTTCAGTGTACCTATGATTAGTTTTCTAAAATCTGTAAGTATTTTATAGGTTAGTCTTGAAAGGGTAGTGTAAGTACATCTTAAATGCATGTAGTATAATATCAGCAACACCCTCCAGAGCAAAAAGGACAACTATAGACTTAAAACATTTTCATTTGCTGGTACCTCTGTTTCTGTAAAAATAGTATTTTTGCACTAAGAGAAATTAACTTTTGAAATTATGCATCTCACTAAAGACCATATCTGCAGCTCAGTCATCAGGTCTTTCACATGTCAGAATTTGGTAGTGAGCTACTAAATTACTAATGTAGTCTCAGTCTCTGCTTAATATAATTAGATATGAACAAAGAATGCAAATCCACTGTTTTCCTACACCAAATTCTTAGGAGACAATCTAAGGATGGAATGTAAGTTCTAATTAAATTCAACTTTTTTTGCAAGTCTTTTATTATTGCCACAGACATCTGACGTTTTTTTCTCACAACAAACAGGCAAACAAATAAAAGGTAAGTATAGGAAAAATCCCAGCCCTTCAGAGATACCTATGTAGATATCCCCAGAGGCAAAATGGCAAGAGTAAGATTATTTAAAGACACACAAAAAGCCATAAGAGAAATATAGACAATGTCCCAAGGAAGCTGAGTTATCGCATTCAAATTAATGACAACTGGATTACCTGCACCGAGGCACCAGTGATCACTTATACATATGTTCAGCCATCTCATGTATGAAGATTCAAAGGATAGTGTATATGTAGGACAGCAGCACACAAATGGAAGGCAGACATACAACAATAAGCATTTTCTGTTCTGAAACAGCTAGAAACCATTTTCAGTGGTATGCAAAATATGGTAATATTGTAATATGGTAGTATCACTCTAGGTAAGATGTTGTTATGAATAATTTGTCTTCAAAACACTGACATTAATTATTGTTTTATTAATTAAGCACGGTCCCAGCAGAGGTAGAGATGAACATCCTTTGCACATGGGAAAGGCATTACATAAACAGCAGTGACCCAACAGCTTACTTCATCTGCAGTCTGCAGAGACCATTTACTGCATGAGAATTGAAGTTTTGCTAAGGATGCAAGCTTGCCTAACTGGATTTGTTGCGTATTTCCATTCACCCAGATAAAATTAAGCCTCCAATATAAACGCATTTGTTTTGTGTATTTTTGCTTTATACCAAGGTATGTACTTTAATGACAGCTGTGTTAATAATATATACATATTTTCACTGAGACTCTTTTTTTACATTGAAATTTATCTTGATGCTAGAAACAAACCTAGGAAATAGTGATGAATAAAATTGCAGCCTGAAGGAGATAATGGGCTGATTTCTGTCATCAAAGGAGCTGTTCAAAGGCTTTCATCCTTTTTGCTGCCAGCATGCTGCTCCATTTGCAAAGTAAAATCTCCATGCAGCTCTCTAGTGTATGATGCAGTCTGTACTTTCACATATGCAAGAGAATAAAGAGAAAGTCTGTAACCTGTTTTTCCTAAAAACAAAACAAAAACAAAACAAAAATAATTCCAAAAAACCATGGTAAAAGGAAATTAAGTATCTGTGGCAAAAATAGAGTGAATTGTGCTCAAAGCAAAGAGCTCAGAGCTTGGAATCAATTTACCTCTCTAATATACTTCATCAAGGTATATAATACCGACCTTTATGATTTAATACTTACTATTGTTACTTGCAAGTAACAATATAATTGTGTTATGGAAGTATAAACAAGAAGACTTCCATAACACAACTGAATGACTCAAAAGGGTTTTGCAAAAATTGAAAGAACATTTTCTCACAGATCTATAAATGGCAGGTAGTGATGGTCTGGCATGGTTCAGGCATGGAAAATGAAAAATTTCCAGATAAATTTGCCACAATGCAAAAGCTTAGGACATTAAGTTAAGTCTATACAAGGAAGTCCAACTACTTTATCATGAGATTACAAGCACAGACCAATCTTATATTTTTATGTAAGTTTTATGTCAAAGTTCTAAAATTAATTGCTTTAGCATGTACCTTATCTCAAAATTCAATTCCTTGCTGAATTTGGACCTAATGCAGATGAAAAGATTAGCAAGCTACAGAAACCCCACAGATTTATTTCCCACACAGAGCTATTATGAAAGTAGATATCCAATCATGCAAGATAAGAAATAGTTTTTCAACTCAGTGAAGTCAGTCTTACAGGAAATCTAGTACTTTACAGGACGTGGGGCTTGCTTTGTTTATTTTTCAGTGCTTCACATTAGGAGGTAACAGCATAAGTCACAGAATAAAGTTTAAGACTTATTTTGTTTTTCTACATTATAAATTTTCAAATTAAAAGGACAGGACGCTGTAAACCAAGTCTCAGATTTCATAAAGACAAATATTGAGCATCACATTTTATTCTACTGATTTTTATTGCCTTTGTGAAGCAATATGAAAACAGCTTTTGAACTACTGAAAGCCGTATAAGCAGATTGAGGAAAAATCTCATTTTTCTATGATATAGACAGCCATTAAACATAAAATCTAAGGTAGACTGCCTTATATTAAAATAAAACCAGTAGATTTGACAGGTTCTATTAAAGTTAATGACTTTGACACAAAGGTAGTCATAAGATGCTGAGATTTTAATTAATTTTCTCTAATTTTGAAAAAAAACCCCAACTTCTACAATTCAGAAAGAAAATGTTAAAGCCTATCCTCTTAGTAGGTCCCAAAGTTGGTCTCTTTCACAGTTTCTTTTCAAAGAGTTGATAATATATCTTTTCAATGCTTTGCTCTTTATTTCCCTCCCCCCCCCAAATAATTTGATTCCTTTTATTACTACCTGTAAGCCAAATATTCCACACTTAGAAAAAGGACTGAATTTGTTGGCCCCTAGCATTGTCATAAAACAAGACCTTCTAATTAATGGAATATTCCCACACTAAAGACTATTTTGAGGTCCTCCAAATTCTTGTCCATGCTTTCTTTTGCAAAGATTGCTTTGAGAATATATTAATCTACTCCAAATAAATAATTTACATAAAAGCAGCTAGCATGGGAAGCACTTCTAGAACAGAATGTAGCCCCCTGTGAGACACTGCAAAGCTGCACCCTTCAGTAACATCATATAGAGCTTAAGGTGGCGGCAAGCCTTTGCGTTGCTCCTGCCTCAGCAACAGGTGTTTATTGATTTGTTATTTCACAAAAGCACCACGTGCTTTGCTCAGGACAAAGTCCTGGAATCCTTAGACCAGGTCTTTGCAGTGTTCATCTTCATGAGCAAGATCAATAATGTAAGGGAAGTCTGGCATTTGACGATGGCTTGATGTGACAAAGAGGTCTACAACAAAATGCTGGTATGATTCTGCAAACCAATTGGAGCCAATAAGTCACCACTTCTGTTCAAAGAGCTTAATATTTCTTGTCATCAAAGACCGAAAGCATCTTTGGGACACATTAATCACTAATTGCTTGCTATGTCCTGTAGACCCACAAAAGCAAATTTTCACTTCTGAAGAAAAAGGACCAGGCAATTAAGACCAAACCAGCACTCTACTGATGCACTTTAATTTAAAAAATATTAATAAGCTTTCAAATAATTAATTTGTGTTGCATTTTCCATTTTATATGAATGAGGCAAATGCTCCATCTTAATAACACATCTAGCTTTTTTAGAAATTCTGAAGCATCCATGACAGATCCAACTACCCAGATTTGTTGTCATAATGAGGTTGGTAGATCTACTCAGAAAAAAAAGGAATTACTTTAATCTGAGGGTGGCAGAATTATGTTTTGCCATGTATATTTTTTATATTTTTAAGGAGCATCAGGACAGTCCTGTTTGATAAACAAATACTTCATCACAATGCCCCTGAAAAACAACACAGATTTGGGCCGTAATTCTTCCATTTTACCCATGCAGATAAACCTCTTGAAGATCTCCTGCACAAACCTATTCAGCAAGGGATGTTGAACAGGCTCCCCTTCCATGCGGTGGGTATGTGTGGTTGAGATACAGCTCATTGTAACACATGTCCAAGCTTCAGCTGACTATGTAATGTTGCGAATTTCACTGAAATCATGTCATTAAAGTACATTGAAGCTCTTGGCAAGCTTACAATCACAAGCGGCACCATCACCTTGGATCCTTCGTTACCAAGATCTGCCTTGTGCTATGCCCAGCACCCATCCTTCGGAGGATACCATGCCGTGGCTCCCCGGTGTCCTGAGCTGGTGTTACCACCCGCCCCTACACCTTGCAGAGGAGTCTGCAGAGCCCTCCCTTCAATTCGCTGACCACTGCTTGCGACCCCGCAACCACAGCCTTTCCTCTCCCGGCACGAAGGGCCTTCATCCCACGGGACTGATCGCACACCCGCCCGTTCCTGCCCGAGGGCAGTTAGAAGGGTACGGGGTGCTTTGTTACCTCCCTGCGGGCTCGCAAGGCTCGGACCCCTCCAAGCGAACACTGAGCCCGTTTCGTGCGGACTCCAGACCCTGCCCTGTGGACCCCAGACCCTTCACTGAGAACACGGAACCCTCCCCTGACGACTCCAGGCCTTCCCCTGCCAACCCCAGCCCCCCGCCTATAGCCGCAGACCCACCAGTCCCCGCTCCCGGTCCGGCCCAGTCCGACCCGGTGCAGATCAGACCAGAGAGGACTCGAACAGCGCCTCCCAGCGCCGCAATCCGGCGCAGCTGCCGAGCCGACGTGCGCGGCGCCGCGTCCCCCGCGCAGGGGCGGGGCGGAGCTCGAGGGGGGCGGTCCCGGGGCGGTGCAGGAAGGGGGTGCGTCGCAGCGGCAGACCTCGGTGTCGGTGTTGCTGCTGGCAGCGGCTGGGCTGATCGGCCGGGAGTCAGCGGTGTGCCGTGGCGCGCCTTCGTCCCGTGAGTTCCACCTGCTCCGCGTTCGCCCGGGCACGGGGGCTGCGGGGAGGGGAGGAGCGGGAGCAGAAGAAGGGGATACTTTGAGTTGCGGTGATTCTCCCGAGCCCCGCGGCGGTGCCGGTGCCGCGCCTTGGCCGGACACTCGGCGGGCCGCGCTCGGCGCTGCCTCTGCCTGAGTACACGTGCGGCGGCGGCGCCTGCGCACTGCTCGAGGCGCGGCACCTCCCGCGGATGCCTTGGGGCGGGTTCCCGGACACCCGGGGGCCGCTTAGCACCGCGGTGCGGGTGCCAGGAGCAGCTCTTCTCCTGCGGACTGCGGTGGCTGCGGCGCTGAGAGGCGGGGGTAGCTCTATCCCGCCCTCCCTGTCCCTGGCTGAGCACTGCCGCTGCCGCCTGAGGGGGTGGATGCGGCAGAGCCTCCTCTCTTTTCACCGGGACTTTGTGTTCCGTGCAAACCCGACGGGAGGGACGAGCTTCCCCGGGACGGCCGAGGTACGGCGCGCTCTCCACCGCCAAATTTTCCCCCGACGCCCCGCGTCACCAGCACGAGCCGCTACGGGCAGCGAGCGGGGCCGTCCCGGGGCCGGTGCCTCCCGCCCGTCATCGGGTCCGGCTTAAAGGGCCGGGCGTCATGCCGGCGGTAGAAACATGGCTGCATGCGGAGAGGCAGAGCCCCTCCGGACTTTGGCACTGGCCCGCTGGCGCTGTCATTTCTTCACCAAAGGGTGTCCAGCCATGAGAAGCATTCAAGTGCTGTCATTTTGTTAGTTTCGACTTCCAGCTGTTTCGAGTAGCGTATGGTTCCCGACTGTCGCTGGGAGTGTCTTTTTTTTTTGTTTGTTCGTTTTGTTATTGTTGTTATGGTTTTGTTTTTTTTTGTTGTTGTTTTTGGGGATTTTTGTGGGTTTTTTTTTGGTTGTTGTTTTTGTTTTGTTTTGGGGTTTTTGTTTATTTTTTTTGTTGTTGTTAAGCCTTCACTCCTCATTCTGTTCCTTTAAAACTCATGTATTAATTTCAGTCATTACTATCAAAATATATATTTTTGTGTATCAATCTCTTACAAATTGGTTCACACATATTTTTGAATGTGCCACATAACTATCCACTTGCCAGAGCGTGGTTGTGCTGTGAGAACTGCTATGTGAAGGGGTGGGTCCCAAAGCTCTTCGGCAATGGTAAAGCCATGGTCAGTTCTGCAGTTGACTTATGGACTGCAAACACAGAGGTGCTGTCATTGGCAGGTTGGTAGGTTTTACTGTAGACTGTTGTCACATTGTCTACTGTATGCTTGCAGATAAGTAAGTGTTCTTATAGATTTGAATTAAAAAAATATAATTCACTAGCATTAGTTAGAATTTTTAAGCTACTTATTAAAAAAAAAGTGTTTGGCATGGAAATGGAAGTCTTCTTACAAGATAACAGGCATTTTTTATGTCACAAATCTCTGTGATCTGTCACTTAATATGAATCAGATGTTTTGTTTCCTTTTTGATTTGGGGCACTCCTTTTCTGTCTTTGCAGGTATTCTCACATTAAAAATGTTGGTAATAAATATATAGCTTTCAGAAAATAGCAGTTTAATACCAAAATTTTAACTGAACTTAATTTTTTTAGGTACTGATGTGTTGGATTCTTGTTTATATTTCTGTACTGTGCTGTAGATCTGAAATCATGAGTCTGTCTTGTACTGTAAATCTGAAATCAGGGGCTAGTTTTCAGAAATATCTTTGCTGGAAGACTGAAGCTGACTAGTTTGCTGACTAGTGCATGTAGAAAGAATGGAAAGTGGGTTGAATTTAGACCTTAGGTACTCAGTTAGTTTCTTTGATATGGCAATCTCACTGTTGGGACAGGTGAAAATGAGAGAGATAGGAGGTAAGGGCTAGCAAGTAGCCAAAAAAGATACTTCCTTTGACATATGGAGGCAGAGGTCTGCACAAGTGTATGTGCAAGCAAGCTTAAAGTAATCTCAAAGATCCAATCCAAAATACAAATCCACCATTTTGATGCTTTATCTGCTTTCTTGTTAAGTGAGAGAGTCTCAGGGCTCCCAAGTGTCAAATAATACCAGATAGGATTGAATCTGCGTGTTGTGGAGGTTATTTCCCTGCATGTGGCTGATACCATAAAACAGTCAGAGAGAATGTTTTTTCTTGATTTCTTAGAGGTGAATCCAAAGGAGCTCTGTTGTAAAATGCATGTTCATTGAAGACAATTCTTATCACATTGCTTCTTATCACATTGCTTCTGTTTTACGTGTAGTAATGGCTCAAAAGGTGCCAAGAGGTTGGGATTTGTTCTGAAGTTCTCATTTTATAGCTTGACAGAAGTATTCATGTTGTATGCTCAAAAATGATGGCATGCACAATGCAATTAAGACTATAAGTTAAAGCAATTTCATAACTTGCCAGGTTTCCATTTAATCCATTAAATTGGATCTGACCATTGCTTGTGATATTCAAGATGAATAAATCTCCTGGGATATTTATAGTAGTACTATCCAAAGTTACAACTACTGCAAAGAGAGCTTTGAAATGTATCACAAATGGAGCTAAACAAGCTAGAAAAAGTATTTATAGTGTATACTATTAAAGCAATTGCTAACAATTAGTATTAAATACTTAAAAGAGTAGATACTATATCTACTATGGTAGATACCATATCTACCATATTCAGTTTAGTACTAGTAGGCTATACCATGTTAGTTGTCTTGTGTCTTGAGAACGAGATATAGTGCTGGCTGATCTGAGCAAATTTTTGCTAGACTGGTTTACCAGCCTGATCTAATATGACAGTCTGTATAGTCAAAATGTTCTGAATAATTAAAAAAATGTCTCTACTTAAGGCATCCAAGTTCAATGTAATGTTAAAGTAGCAGAAAGAAACACTGGACGTTCTCTAACTAGTAAGAAATATTTTCTTCATGCTTCAGAGCTTGAGCCAATCAAATGAATGCAAGGTGTTTTTCAAGGCACAACTGTTTTCCTCCTTTCTTCTCTCTTTTTCCTCCCTTTTCCCCCCTCTCATTTCCTGTCCACTCCCCTCTTTTTTCTCCTCCCCCTTTATTTTTTTTTGTCCTCTTCTTCCTCTCTCCTATTTTCCCTTATTCTTTTGCCCCTCTTTTACTCTTTCTTTCCCAATTCCTTTTTCATCACCTTCCCCCACTTCTGTCACCTCCCCTCCTTGCAGCTTTCCCTCCTGTGTTTTGCTTTTCCTCACTACTTTTCACCTTTTTCTTCCCCTTTCACACTTTCCCCCCTTCTTTTTTTCCTCCTTTTTGTTTTTTACCTCCTTTCTAAGGCAGTCAGGACATAAAAAATTGGAATGCATAGGGCAACAGAAAGACAGTGAAAATTTACAACATACTCGTTATTGATTAAGCCCCTTCAGTTCTCTGTGATAAGTGAAGGACTCTTTCATTTTCTCTCAACCTTGCCTGTATTCAAATGCAGTGTCTTCCAGTGGGCCAAGGTAAGGAGGAGGAGAGGGTGCTATTTATAAATTGTTTAGGCATGCAGAATCAACTAAAAGCATTTTCCTGCAGAAAGATGTAAAAGTTATATCTGAAAAACTTGATTGAATAGAACTCAAATTCTATTGGTTACTTCATAAGTTATATGAAACAAATATTTCAATGTGAATTTGTATTAAGGGTATGTGGGAATGCAAGTGTGGAGCACTTTTGTTATGACAACATTCTGGAAGCATAAAGTAAAATGAAGTAGGATTTTGAGCTATAACTTGGGACCATGTGAGCAAAGAACAAGTACTCACAAAAATCGTGTAGTATATATGGGAAGCAAAATTTATAGTTAATGTGTTTTTTTGAAGCACTGTTTTTCAGGTATACATTTTAAATTTTGGGGTTTATTATTACTAACATTGAGAAACAAGCTAGGTAGAGATTTTCTTTCAAATCTATGTGAGAATGTGAATGAAATTGAATACTAGCCTCTGAAAAGGTACACATAGATTGTATATGAGGCAATGGCAGAAGAAAGCAAGCTTTTCCCATTTGTTTAATAGGTGAAGGTCAGGCAATAAGTTTCTGAGGGAGACACTTAGCAGTCATTAGTTGGAAGAGCTCTGTTGCAGCAGTACTCCAAGCCCTGTGAGCACTTCCTATGCATTGTAGAGGAAGGGGTTTTCTTGCTTTTCCATCACTCATCAATGTTTTATTGACAATGAAAATACTCAGCAGAACCCACCTTTTTATGCAGAGAACAAGGTGTGTTTTGCAATAAAAGGCAATAAAATAATAACTTTGTCTCTTCATGCTGCAGTGACGACGTTCCTGCATTTTAGGCAACAGATGTAACTTGACAAGTACTCTAGTTTAAGATATCAAGGTTCTGCAATAGCCAAACAGAGTGTGTCATCATATGATATGAGAGTTTAAAGTGCAGCAGCTCACAATGGATCACTGGATAGGTGGAAACATGACTTCTACTTTTGAACAAGTTAATTTTTGTAAAGTTGTATTTGAAGTCTTGTAGATTTTTTGTCATCCTTTCATTTCTTGCTTTTGCAGTCCTACATTTATGAGGACCAGGGCAGATGGCTATCTTGTCAGTATGATTACTTGCAGTGACAAGGGAGAAAGAGATGCTGTTTACCAAGTCCTCACTGTGTATTTTGTTTTATTCTTGACTGGTGATGATGTTGCATGATCTTTGCTTTATATTCCCTTTGGACAAATAATGCTGAAGGAGATGTTGAATCATATCCTATTTGCTGATCCATGAATGTAGTATGGTCTCATACTCCATCACTGCCTCCCAGTTCCAGTCCACAGTTACCAATATTCTTTTTTTGATCTTATGGTTCTGCTTGGTTGTTTAAAGTCCTGTTCTAGTACTTTAGTCTGTACTGTTGTACATTTGTGGTCCTAGTGTACTAATACAAGGATAAAATACAAGTACTTTACTGTAGAAATCCCTACAAAACAATGGTATCTCAAAAGTTTGTCTTTGTAAAATTGTCTATCTCTGTGTCAGAGTCCTTAGTGTATAGGGTTAATCAAGACTTAAATAAGCAAAAACAAAAAAAGTTTTCTGCTGATCGTCATATGTTGCAAGTATCCTATTTGCTTTCAGTTTTCTGTGTTGTATATGCCTCAGGTCTTCATGCTTGAACAAAAAAAGGGATTATTAGTCTTTCATATTTGGGAACAAAAACAGATTGAGGAAATGATTATATTGAACTTAAGGTTTCTAAGGTTTGTGAAATTTTTTTTTTGAAGAACAGGATGAAGTTGACACTAGAGGGCCACTGCAAAGCTATAGAAGATTTGTTAACAATTACTCATCTTAAAAATTAGGGTGTACAGTATACCCTTTCTGGCTTGTTTCAAAAATGCCAGTCCAATTTTCAATTTGAATTATTCAGTCTTTGTATATACTCATTGTTCTTGTTTAGTGTCATTCAGTAGCTTAATTCATACTTTGTTCTCTGTATATACTTCTGTATAGAGAACAGTTATTACAGTCATG